TACGGTGTGCTGACGCCGTGGAATTCATCGGATGCGATGCTCACATGGTGGAGGTCAACTGTGCATGAGATTCCAGAGGCAAGCTCGTCGACATCGTGGACATGCAAGGCACGTCCTTCATTCCACCAGTGTCTTTGTGGTTAACCCCATCCAACCGTCAAGTCACGCAAAGTGTGTGAGGAAGTACGTCGAAATTGAGAGCAAACCACACACAGCTGATTGGAAAGTGTGCAAAATGTCTATGGCACAGCTAGCCTAAGTTCTCTGTCCACGGCCTGGCATCAGTCGAGAAGCCTCGGACAACGGGGCGACGAGGCCAGCATTGCGGTAGTGGCATGCCTTACCGGGCAGTGGTGACAGCGGTGAGTTGTTAGTTTACACTCGCTATTCTCCAACCTACCCATCAAATGTTACTTGAGGTGGGCTCTTTGACGTCAACTATCTCAAATTTGGGTGCTAAGACGCGTGAGTGTTGAATGTGGCAATGCTAACTCAAGCCAACATGTAGTGTTGTGTGGGTGTCGCTTTGAGGTCAAGAAGGGGAGAGCTCATAGGCTGATGTGAGTGTGTGGCACCTTCATAAATGCCCACGAGTTGTGACAGAAAGAAAAAGTTGTGCGTGTGCGATGGAGTTGCACTGGTGTCTCATACTGTTGACGACTTCAGCTTTGATTGAGAAGCGTGGAATTTTGGACGGTACGTTTCATTTTTATGGCAGGATCTAATCGCAATGTGTGCGAAGCCGTTTTGAACCTCGCAGAACTTGTTTAGGCGCGGATTGTTGCTCTGAATTAGTTTGTAACTGGAGGCGACACCTAATCTCAACGTGCTCGCATGTCGCAGGGAGGAGGTGTTTCTTCGCTCCTTACTCTACTGCCAATATCTGACAATCGCTACTGTTAGCTAGTCATCACATCCTTCCGTTAGTTGTCCTTCTCATCTTGATTGTAGGGACACAGGCTAAAGTGATCTCATTGCAACCGCCCTTTTATGAGACGAGCGTGGGTTCTCGAGCCATTCGCTATAAGTGGGATCCGGAGGGCAGGAATGACTTGATTGGCTGCAAAGTCACATTCGTATCAGCCACCTCTGCTGACACCAAACCCGCGAAAGTGGTGTCTGTGGGCATCAGTGATGGCGAAGTCATCCTTGGTGGACTGACGCCCAGAACGCTATACACAGTGAATGTGGCTGTAACTCGAGGCGAAAAGGAGGTTTACAGTACTTGGGACAGAATAAAAACACTGGCCACCGGTAAGTTTGGATGCGTGGTTTTGCAGCGTGTAGTTCCAAGAGGGAATGCCTTTTTCACAGACTGCATAAAGAAAAGTAGGCGTTGCAACTAAACGTTTACGTTTAGCGAGAGCTGGAGGATGAAAGCAAACTATTCCGAGCATCGTGAAACAGATTCTCTTGCTAAAGCATTGAGGTAGTAGGTGAGAGGGTGGCTGAGTGTCCAACAGCACCATTTATAACCTATGCAAAGAAAGGGGTAATGCTTGCAGTTCTCTTCACCAAATCCTCAACATGCACACTACATGCTGCTTAGGAGGATAAGGTGGCTGACCATGGCAACTGCAGCAACGTTTTCGGAATTTTGCCCAATGCCTCCACTGTCGCGTAAAACATGTGTGTTCCTTGCTCTCACCACGGCGTGCACTAGGTCATCAGGGCAGGAGCTACGCTTGGGTTGCACTGTATAAGAAGGGCATGGCAGAGCACAGTATACAGCACATGTATAGGCGATTTGAGTGAATGATTGCGCAGGTGGAGATAAATGATGCGTTACTTGGAATTCTCCCCATTCAGAAGCACTGGTCTCATCTCCTCACTTCACCTGTTTCTCACCATAACGTTGTTAACTGCAGCGGAGTCTGTTTGAAGTGTCGTTCTCGCCTTGCATCAGCCTCGAACCGATTAGAACCCATTTGTGATCAGCGCCGACAGTTTCGCCATCACCTGCATGTACATCGCATCTACCACACAACTCCACTATTCAGCTACACCACTTATTTGCTGTAAGTGTT